ATACATATAGATAGGTTTTTGGTTTATTGAAACTAGGCAACAGAATTGTGGGTTTCTTGATCAACGTTTCATGAAAAATTATTACCGATGGGATTTCGCAACCACATCTATCATTTTAATGAACATTTCATACACAAAAAAAGTAAAAAATTTAACAAACATGATACGTTGTGTAGAATAGCGCGTTTGATGGTACATGTCCGTTTTTCGATATACCTATTGTTGTGGTTTTACTATATTTGATGTAAATATACGAATAAAACTGGGAAATTTACACGAACTGCTTTACTTCAACCCGTCAGATTAATCACGTGATCACCCAGTATGTGCAGAGGACACTAACGATCTAACAGATCACATGTTTAGATTCATTTGTGACGTAGTAATGAACATTATATTGGAATGCAACTGTTGGAAACTGTTAATTTTCATAAGAGGTAACTCTAATAAGATAATCGATTCAAAAATCTCGCGTGACCAAGGGCAGCGCTTAAGCGCGTGCGCGGGCCCGGCGCTCCTACTCCCGTGTGCAGGCCGTTCATTAACGTTAACTTTTACTGCTGCTAGCGCGTTTATTACATAAACCGTCAAAAATAAAAAAAAGTTTTTCATTACTTTAAACTTTTTTTAAATTTAGGCATTCTAAACCGGTCAAACTTGCAGAGACTATTATTAGTACCTAAATACAGTCAACAGTACATAGATTACGCTTAGTTTCTATTTTTATGGTTCAGCCATAGATTTTATTGTTGATTTTTTCTCCGAAAAAATGAGATGACTATTTTATTTTCATTATAATTCCGCGAGTTTTTGAGCTATGAAATTTTTTCAAAAAACATTTTAAAGGTCTTTCCAAGCACTTTAAAAAATGTTATATTCATTTTCTTCGAAAAATTAGTTCTTTCGCCATTATTTTACGGCAAAATGTTCGATTTTACTTTCCGAAAAATAAACAATCACCTTTAGAGAGTGATAACTGGATTATTATTACATCTACGGTAATCAACAATGAATCGATTCATTATTTCAAAAGCTTTATTTTTGCTTTATATGGGGTTTTCGATAAAACGCAAGGTTTTCGAGTTATTTATCAAAAATGGTTAAAAAAACATGCATTTTTTAGATGAAAAATCAACATTTTCAATCGCAAATAACTCGAAAAATATTAATTTTTAAAAAAAACCTTCTTGTTTCAAGTGATCACTAATAAGAATAAATTGGATTCTAATTCCAAGCAATCACCAATAAAAAGAAGTAAATTCTAATGACACTCCATGAGAAAACTAAAATAATCTTAACATTAATAAGAATTAAGTTAATTCTAATTATAATCCAACCAAACACTAATAAGGATTTTAATTGAACTAAATACTAGTAAGAGTGAAATGAACTCTAATAAGAATCTAAATGATTAGTAAGAATGAAGTAGATTCTAATGACAAATAAGTGAATTCTAATTATAATGCAACTAAACACTAATAAGGATTTTTATGAGTCGAATCAAACACTAATAAGAGTTAAATAGACTTTAATGAGAATCTGAATAATTAGTAAGAATGCAATAGATTCTACTAATAATAAAGAGAATTTTAATGACAGTCCAAGTGAACACTAATAATAATTGTAACTTCTGATTATAATCCAACTAAACACATCAGAATGTAATTAAACTCTAATAACAATAAAATGGATTCTAATGAGAATCCAAGATATCACTATTAATAATGAAGCAAATTCTAATGACAATCCAACGGAACACTAACAATAATTGTGTCATTAATAGGAACAAAGTGGATACTAATTATAATCCAATTGAACACTAATCTAATAAATATTTTAATGAGAATCGAACTAAACACTAATAAGAGAGAAATGGATTCTAATGAGAATCTAAATGATTATTAAGAATGAAGTGAATTGTAATGACAATCCAACTGAACTAATAAATAATAAAGTGGATTCAAATAGGAATTCCACTGAACACTAAGAATGAAATAGATTCTAATGACAATTGAAGTGAACATTTTTTCTTCATTGCCACCCATTGCAAATGTCAGATTCGGATTCAGCACCCCAAAAATCAAAACTACCCCCCAACATTCCAGTTAAAAAAAAAAATTGACTGGACTACAGTGTGGCATCAAAATAACCAGTAAAATTTTACATAANTTTTCATTTTCTGAACATACAACATTTCTAAGTTCCCACGTATGAATTAAAGTATAATGATATTAAACTCCCTTTCGAGAATAAAATAGTTAATTAATTAAAGGTAGATAATTAAAGAAATAACCCCTCAGGTTACAATAGAAATCCGTGCGATAGAGAAATATGGCTATAATGAATGCGTCTAATAGTCACCGCCCATTTCGGCCTTCCACAAATAAGAAGTGGACCATAACGTAACGGCCGATGAACCATGGGGACTTTCCGACCCTGTATGTGTCCCTCAACCCGTTGGACTTTTATTTCTGGGGGTTCATGAAAAATCTTATTTATAGGGTCCCAATATTACTTAAATGAGCAATATTTGCAAGACTCAAAACACTGAAGTTAAACATTTAAGCAACAAATAAGAGAAAAGAAAGAAAGCTCCAACTCTGAGCCCGTGACTCTTGAGTTAATTGTTGACATGATAAAATTCTAGTATCAATAAGCTTAATTGAGTAAGCTTTAAACCAATGTGTTTGTTAATGATTATCCCTTTTAACATTTTTTTATTCATGCTACCCTCTATTTCATTTTTCATAAACCTATACTATAAGAGGAAAATTCCACTTTCGATGACACCCTCTATGGGGAACTCTTTCTATTCTGATAAAAAACTGGGAATCGACACTCTGGAAATCTTTCTACGTACCGATCTCGAGCGGTCATGGCAGGCTGAAAAAAGACTTACGCTTTTCCGTACGTTGGAAAATTGCTTTTCCTGTGCCCGCATTCGTATCAAAACTATAAGATTGGATAAATATGCAAAATGGAAACCGCCTGTAAATATAGTTGAGTTGACAGTTCTAGGTCAACTCCAGGTGAATGCTTCTGAAAATCATATTCTCTGTGCGGGGAAATCTCAGGTGTTATAAAATTTCATGTACTTAATGTGATCTCCACACATGTCAGCGATTTATTCGAGTTGCTTTTGAGGTGAAATGAAAAGCAAAGAGTTCCCTTTCCGGCTTCTTTCCCATCGATATAAATATTGATGGGTTCGCCCAAGTGTGTCATGCAGACTTTCAGATATCTAGAATTTTGTTTTTTAACTTTTCCTATTATTTACTAGTGGAAATTTAGCTCACGACGAATTTAGTTGAAAAATGCATAATACTAGAAAGTAATTATTTGTCGAGATATTTCCGAGAAATGTTACAATATGAATATATATTTCTTTACTAGGGTCAACCACTAGGTATATTTCTAATTTCTTAATAGCCTTAATATCTATTTTTGTTAAAGAATGATTTTTTCATAAAATGAAAAAGTTTTTTTATTGCTATTTTAAGCATTTTTTTTTCGATTTATTTCATCGACACTTCCAACATGTTTTTTACATTCATTTTAAGGCAGAATAAAAAAATTNCATCCTTCAATGTCATTTACCAACTACAAACAATATTTTAACTATGTATAGAGGACAAATAATCGTGACCAACTAATGTGACCTTCAATGTCGTTCACGGTCACCTCATACGTCACCACATATGTCATTTCAAGGACGAAAGTGGAGGGGGGAGACTCACAAACGGTTAAAATACCCTACTAATAGTGACCACAAAACACAAAACTAACCACAGACCACACATATACTGTAGACAGACGTTAGCGTTAAACACCAAGAAGCATGGTCCATTAGGCATTTTTTCGCGTGATTAGTAACGGATAGATTTAATATTACAAAATAAGTTTCAAGTACATGCTAATAAAATAATATGTACAAAACCACCATAAAAACCATCAAAGTATATAAAAATATCTAAAAAACCCACCAGCAACTAAATGGCAAAAAAGTACACTAGATGAGTCTTTCAAATCACCAGTTCTAGTGGGGAAACCACTAAGTTGGCAACACTGCGCGTCACTAGCTCGGTTCATCGAGCCTTGCGCAATTCAGATACCTTTATTTTGCAGGGACGGTTTACATTATTTTACATTCACAGGAAACAAAGAATACAAACTTAACAAATAATACTGAACAATGATTATGTAAAAATCGACATTAAAACCATTACACAATTGAATAATAATAAATTTCTATGCAAACGATGAAACAGTTATCTCATTTTTATTATTATGGTTATCTATTCGCAACGTAAACAATCTTTATCTACTTATAATTATTTTTGTAATGTTCAATTTACCGCCGAAACATTTGCTTTAATTTTTTAGAATACTTTTAACACAGATTCCCATTTTCTTTTAAGGTCGATTGTGTAATCATTTCGCAACGCAAGACAAAAATTTACTGAAATTTAAAATATTAAAATTCACAATTCACCATTCGTTATGGGACTGCCTCCGAGAAAAATTTGCTCTACTGACATCGTATCGACGATTAGTATCGGTATGAAATCGTAATAAAAATAATAAATAAATTTGTCGCAACTTATAGTACTTATACTTAGTTGGATTTTGCATTCGTAAATACATTGTTGACATTTAAATTTGTGCATAAACATAAAATTGATTGTCGATCAAATGTTAATAAATTTTATAATTTTATAATAAATTATAAAGTTAAGTTACTGGATCTTGTGTATATAAAATTCTGCGATGATTCTGCCAGAGACGAATTTCTCTTCTACAATAATTGAAACATAACCTTTATTTCATAATTTGTTTCTATCTAAAGCAATTGATTTTGATTATAAACCAATACACAAACGTTCCTGAAATTATGGTTTAGAAATAAGGCATTGAAAACTAAAATTTAGAAGCACTAAATGTTTACTTTAGCTTTTTAGCTACTTTTTTTTAGCCTACATTTATGATATAATCCAGATGTAATGACTGTAAACAGAAGACAGATGGATCGTTCGCTGGAAATTAGAAAACTCTCCCCAAGATACATAAGGGAGTTGGCTCAGATACTGGAAACTCATGAATTGTGGAAGAGACTAATGTCAATTATACCAAAGACACTGGAAAAGTTTAATTTCGTGTGTAATGTTACCTTAGATAATCCCCACAAATATAATTCAGAACATTTTAAGTAATGCATCTTAAAACTTTTGAAAAAGATGAAGTTTATCAATAGTTTTTTTTTAGGTTAATAGAGAATGCATCGGAAAGGTACAGGAGAGCTTGTACTGAAATATTGCTGGACGAATGGGGAACATCAGGCAGATTGAGACCGGTTCTAGGTCATTTGCTGTACCTCTTAACACAAGCAAAATTGTTTCGAGCTGCGGATTACATTGCTGTGGATCTCCTAAAACAGGAGAAACATCAAAGACCAAGCACTGGCCCAGAAGCTTTGATACCAATAGTATTATCTGAGCCTGCAAAACAGAAGGATAAACATCTGGAAGAGGTTGAAAGATCATTGGATCAAATCGGTTACCTTGATTCTGCGTTGATGTTAATTAGAACTAATTCCGAGAAGGCGGCTAGACATCAAAATGTGCCTTCAGTGATATCACAAATAGTTATAAGTCCCGATATCGATGAAGACAATCATGGACCACAGTTCTCTGTGCCACTCGTCGTGCAAAGGGAAAGAATCGATTCAGACATAAATAATGACTCTGATATGATGAAATTTTCGACAGGATCTCAGTCAACAACCAGCCAAAATTTGAACGAAACAAAAAATAGGCCTGAAATATCACAATTACTTAACGAATCACCGGAACTGTCCAATATGATAGAATTTTCATCAGAGACGGTGTCAAGTGGTAGCATCAATGAGATTGAATGTGATAGACCTGAGATTTCTCAGCTGCTTAATGGGGTGTCAGAGTCAAACTTACCAAATTTCGATATGATGAATNTTATTATAAAAAAAATTTGTTATTGAATGAATTTGATTAATGCTTATGTCAAAATTTTGTTGAACGCCTTTTTGTAAGATAATTTATGGATTCTATAATTACCTGTTATGCTTATAAATAATTTTAGAGCCTGTACTCCTATCTTCAGGGAAGCGGTTCACTTTATAAACACTTTGTATACAAGTATGATTGACACTTATGTTGAAATAGTTTTTTATGAGAATGATTTAAATTTTTAATGTTGTTCAATACTTAATTCTTTCTATATATGATTTAGTTTTGAATAGAAATGTAAAATTGATTTAATTTGAGAAAATAAAATTACTGACTTCAAACTGAAAACATAAACAATATATTACTTACTATTTCGTTTTTTATAAATAATAAAATTTTCAAAATTCTGATTATTCTATCCTAAACTTATTAACTAATGAGCTCTCTATTCAGTATTAAATTTTTATCTATTGTAATATTTCTACTATTAACGGTGACTTTTGTTTATAGTTATCAAGCTTGTAACTTTTAATGTATTTTAAATAGCGATAAAGTTCTTAATTATTTTTTTATTTCTCTAATATGGCCAGTTATTTATGCAACTATATTTAAACTTTGTATTGTTGGTTGCTCACGTATAATATCCTTTTCCTTGTTTTAATCTGCTCCGTGGATTCTTGAATTCTCGTTCTACGTTCCTTTTGCTTGGTTTTGCATGGAACAGCAATCTCTTTTTCTGGATTTTATTTCAGGTCCCTCCTTCTTTTCTCCTCACTTTTCTTTAACATTTTGCATTTACTTTCTTGTATTTTCACTTATACCAAACACTGATTTTACAATTTCACTAATTTTATATTGTGGTTACTTTAAACGTATTATGATACTAGGTTGATCTGTCTGTTTTACTGTCAAATGTCAAATCTTATATTGATATTTACTTTATATAACTTTGAGTATGTAATTCTTCTAAATTTTATCAAATTTTACTTATTTAAAATGTTTTAGATTATACATGTGCTCTCTACGGAGATTATGGACATACTGCCTAATTTTGACGTCTGGTTCCTATATTAATAGCTATTTTCCAGTGGTTGTTATGGAAATAAATTATGCCTCAAAATTATAAAAATAAAATTGCAAATTTTGGAATTATGCTTGGCTTAATCTCGAAACAACTTACATATTGTGATTTCTCGTACTCTCAGCTTTCTATTGATATCCCTTTCATCATATTACGATCAAAGCTTAACTTCAATGTCTCATTACCTATATTTTACAATTTTAAGAATTATTACCTATTCAAACTACATTTTATGTATCTAAATCAACTCTCTGTCCTTTAATGCATGTTGTATGTACGTTTTTATAGTCCTGGATAATTTATTTATTCTAATTAAGTCCTATGAACTTGCATGTATCGTAGCACTGTCAAACTCATCGGCTTATTTTAACATAAAATTGTTTTTACCAGTATTGGTGTATTGTAATATAGTCTAGGGACTGTCTTTTTACTCATTACATGTAAATATACTGGTTTTATAACACTATACTGCTTAAAATTCAAATTTTTTTCAATATTATTCCGGGTAATGTCACTTCCGTTGGTTTTTTTACAATTTTCATTATCTTATACGTGCTTTCCAATACTGTACTGTTGCAAGTGTAGTTAATTTAACATATTCTTATTTTTTATGCCTTTAGTTTTATTCTATAAGTAGTTCTGACTATAATCGTTACTAAATTTATCGATCTGTCCTACATTTATATTTGTATTTGTTGAAATTAATTTAAATAAATTACTATTCTCATCTTCTGTGTTTATACAATGCATGTATGTTAAATTAGCTAACTTTTTATGTATCATTNGCAATCCAAAGATTTAACCGCCTTCATCACGCACGACGGCGCCACCTATCGGTTGACAGTGCTGCCTTTCGGGCTTAAAGGGGCACCAAAAACATTTCAGAACTTAATGACAAGGGAAGTCTTGACCGGATTCTTACACCACTTTACACTTTATCTTGATGATGTCATAATATTTAGCGATTCCTTAGAAAACCATTTAACTCACTTAAAATTCGTGCTCGGAAGGTTAGGAACACTCTCATGCTCTCACAACACCCGTTCCGCTGTAAAAATTAGACATCTATATAATTTTTTTACAAATACAAAACCGACCCTCCGTAACAACCTATAAATAAATTCGTCCCAGTTAGGGGCTATTAAACAACTCGCAGAAATCTGAACCATAGCCATATATTCTTTTAACTGTGCCGAAGCCGTCTAATAAATTAAACCATAATTTATAGTTTTAAATTTAAAAGTGCCGAGTTTATGACTGCTATTGTTATTGAGATTTTGATTGATTTTATAAACATTTCAATTCCTATTGAAAACCTTCTCTCTGAAATAAAAGCCTCTTCCAAAACTTTTACAAAATGGATTTATTCACTAATAAAACTACGTGTGTCCTTGTTTACGTGCGGTTCGTATTTATTTTTATTTTATCGGTAGCAATTATTTAGATAAAACAAGAAAATTAATTTTGGTGTTCGGTGAAATGAACCAAATAATATTCGTCAATAAGAGGTTACGTCCAGGTTAGATAAATGAAAATTATTACACTTGAGGTTACAGGGTAACTCCCCTCATAAATTATTACACAATTAAAAAGATAGAAAGAGTCTTTTGAAGTTTGATTTTTAAAGGTCGATATAGATACAAAAATTGGCCGATCACGTCACAACCACAATCATTGTCTTCATCTGAAAATAACACTATATAAGTAAGTAAGTACCGACTGGAATAATTTAAAAATCAAACTTAAAAGTATGATGAGCATTACCTCGAGTACCGCGACTCTGTAGTTTGTACCAGTACCAGTGCCGTCGCCGTCAGTGCTGCCACGATGCCCACGATCCCCATCACCACCACCACTACGCGGTGTCTTTGCATTTCTCCCCGTGCTGCTTCTGCTAGTTCTGCTTCAGCAAATGGAAATGGCAATGGCCATCGATTTATTACCCTGCACCGAAATGGTGAATGCGCCTGAGATGGCACTTGCCCGAAGAATAATTGAAAAATCTAATTATCCCAATCAACCTACTATTAAGGTAAAGGTTAAATTCAATTAGTTTCTGGTACATTCATTTTATAGATTTTAATTATTATTATTAGGCAGAGTATCTCGTGTACTGCGAATGCACAGATTCCCCGCCGCCGCCGCTTCGTAAGCATCACGGGGGGTACGGCCTATTATGTTCTTGAAAATCAACAAACATGTCATTCGGCGGCGCCGTACCAAAAGGAAGATACCACTTGTGTACAGAGACCTAAGACCTGAACCTGGGAAGGAATATGGAATGTACAAGTTGACCGTACCTGACCATACCTATTACTACTACTTTATCGAATACGAAACAAATTATTTTTTTAATATCTCATCCTATAGTATAATCTTATATTTTATAATAATTATAATTAGGAAAGGGCCCTAAGATGACGAAGTAGGTAAGGTGACGAATTGCACATTGCTATTAAATTAAACGTTTTAAAATCAACCGCCGCGCTTCACCCTTACGGACTTGCGCAGTCTGGTAGCTTCGAAATCTCGGCGGCAAAACGCATAGTATTTAGTTCATCTGATCAGTTTCTCAGCAGAAATAGCCTATGCTGACACTGACGATGATATGGATTTGGAATTCGAAGATGATAAGCTGTGCATAATCTGCAGTGATATGGGTAAGGATAATGAACTTTGGTTCCAATGTTCAAAATGTCGGCTGAGCGTATTCACAATGTACCACTTTGAATCCTAAAGAAGCTACAGCTAAAACATGGATTTGTGACTTTTGTGCATAATTATTTAAATAACTGGAGTAAATGTTTTATTTCGTTTTGTTTTGTTAAATGTTATTATTAGATTTTCTTTTATAAAGCTAATTAGCGTGTTATATTCCTGTTTTGTATATTTTGAGTATATTATCCTTAATAAATATATTTTCAAACTTTGGTTTTAAGACTTTTTGTAATTTAAAATATTAGTCAACTTACCCACAGCAATTCGTCAACTTATCAGCAGTAGGTGGCAAGATGACGAACTGGTTGTTCATTTTTAAAATGCATTTTCTTATGTTAAAATATATATTTTTTTAAATGTTTTCTTGTCAACCGTTTTAATTATGTTATAAATTAAAGTTTAAATGCAATGCATGCCTACTTTTTCATAAATAACAATTTTGCGACCCAAAAAGCCTTAGATTCGTCAACTTACCTCCCTTTCCCCTACCTAAAAAAAGGTGACTGTTCACTCTGTAGCCGATATCTCAATGAGAAATAATTTTACAGAAAATAAAAAAAACAAATTGAAGCTGTGGAATCAAGCTAAATGATCCTGGTATTGATTAGCCAGGAAAATTTTTCTGAGCCCATGAGCAGTTTTGAAAAAAAAAGCAAAATTTGTAAAATTTCTGCCTTGCATTATTTCTTTTGATTGTGCCGAGTGATGCTCAAAAAAATATTTCATATCAAGATTTCAAAACTAGAATCTCCAAGCTTCTTTTTTTTCTCCATATGACCAGCATTCACCTTTCAAAAATCACTAAAAAAAATTTTTTGCTTCATTAATTTTTGTGCTGAGTATAGAATACGTAACTGGGTAGCTCNTTATTATAAAAAATTTTTATTATTGAATGAATTTGATTAATGCTTATGTCAAAATTTTGTTGAACGCCTTTTTGTAAGATAATTTATGGATTCTATAATTACCTGTTATGCTTATGAATAATTTTAGAGCCTGTACTCCTATCTTCAGGGAAGCGGTTCACTTTATAAACACTTTGTATACAAGTATGATTGACACTTATGTTGAAATAATTTTTTATGAGAATGATTTAAATTTTTAATGTTGTTCAATACTTAATTCTTTCCATAAATGATTTAGTTTTGAATAGAAATGTATAATTGATTTAATTTCAGAAAATAAAATTACTGACTTCAAACTGAAAACATAAACAATATATTACTTACTATT